AAGAAAATTGAATAATCCGCCCCCAAACCGATAAGCCGTTAATAAAAAAATTTCAATCCGTTTTTCATCTGTTAATCTGTTAACCCGTTATCAGTAAGCGATTAAGCTTCGGTTCGGTTCGGTTTTTGGTTTCGGATCGGTTTTGAATACCCCTAATGTTGGGTCATCTTATGTCGAGTATTCCCTTTTGTTTTATTTTTTTATCTCATGACGGCCCTTCTGGCCCACTTATCCATGATGGTATGATAAGAAAAATATGTTATGTTGGTACTCGGTTGAGTAAGGCACCGGGTGCTCGTCGCGGCCCTACGATTTGGGTCGTGACATAATGTTATTATTATTTATCATCATTAAGGCTTATTAAAAACAAAAATATCATTATTTATTAAGAAGAAATAATCTAAATAGCCGTCCTTGCAACTATTTAAACTAAAAATAACCGTTTATTATATGATAAATGCATATTATGTGTTTAAACATATATAATTTATGTGTAACGGCTAAAAAAAGTAAACAGTTAATTCGACATGCTATTTTATACATAGACCCCTGGCCTATTTCATAGTGACCGCCACTCTATAAAGTATTGAGGCTCCTAATTTAAGGTGTAGAGATAAATCTATTTTATACGTGTCAACACAATACACCAATATTAATGAACAAAACATGTGTTTCCACCATCCTACAAATTTAAAGTTCATGCCCTATAAGTTTGTCGCTAACCAATTGTTGATTGAGTCACTTTAAATACAGCGTCAATCAATTTACACATGCACACAGCTGCCAAGATTATAACGCGAAAGTACAGCATAAAACATTAATATCCTTTTTCTAGGTTCTAGGCATTAATTTGTGAACTACTATAATTTATGATATTCCTCTGTCCGCGGATAAGGTTTACAAAAAGAATTTAAGAGACTTTCAAGATAAGTATGTTGATTAGTGAAAATTAATTTTTCTTGCCAACATTTATAGAACACTTAACAACTATCTAAACTCGTGTTTTGGTGTATGATCGAGGCTATTCTTTTATTGCTTTTTTATTTTTACAAACATTATTAATTTAAACATTGAAGTTGTACTTTGATTCCAAATATTGGGCGGGACTCATTAACGCTGGATCACTGGAGTTAGCGCGGACTGATCATTTTTCAAGCATGTATTAAAAATAGCCAGCGTATTCAGAGTATTTAAAAAATAGTCAAAATTTTAGTGCAAAAATAGACTTTGAACAAAAATAGTCTTAGTTAAAATACTTAAAAATTCCATTACACTGTGCTAGTAAGGGTTCAAGAATAAAAGTCGCAAAATGGTAATGAAGATCAAGTAGCAGTGGCGGTCACAAGAAGATGTTAAGAGTTATTTGCTATACGTTCAAAGACTTTATAAGATTTAGAACGTTACATTTGTTAGATAAAATTCTTTGAGAAATGTATATTTTTAGGAGTTCAAAAAAATAATAGCCGATAAAATGTATATTCTTATATATGTATATATTTCTGACCCCTAGCGGTAACCTTCAGGCGCCACACCCCTACATTTGCTGCTTCGCCGCCGCCGCCGCAGGTGCCGTCACAGGTAAGTTCAACTTCTCTCTTTCCGCCATCTCTCTCTCTCTCTTTCCTTCTTTCCTTCATCTTTTCCGGTAACTTCTGGCCTGTCTACCGCCGGCGTCATTTTCTTCTCTCCTTCTTTCTCCGTTTGGGTGGGTGCAACGACCAGTCGGGACTAGCGTGTTTCCGGCGATTGCTGCAAGCAACTTGTAGGGTATTTCCGGTGACCCATCTCGTTTTGTAATTTCCGGCGACCCATGTTGCTCCATCTTCTCCGTCCTATCTCTCTCTCCCCTTCTTTCTGTGTGTGTAGGTGCATTTGTTTCTTTGGAAAGGTGCAGTGATTTTCTGGCGAGGACAGGTTATTTTCTAGCGTGTGTATAGATTCCCGACGAGTTTCATTAATTCAGGCAACTTCCGAACAGCTTTCCCGCGGGGTAGTAGGACTGTCAGTGGTCTTGAGCAGATTCGAGGTACTTCAGGAAAACTCGCTCCAGGTTCTTTTGTTCTGTCTTTGATATTTATGGTATCGCTATATTTTGCTCGCCTATCTCTTTTACATGTACAGTATCTTGTTCTAAATTATATTTAGTTAGACTTGCCTGCCTATATATGTCCCTGTCAATTACTTTAGTGTTATAGCTAATACATAATTTGTGTCTGCTTATCTTTATCCCTTATTAGCACCTTGTGTACTTTTAGGTTACTTTTTTAGTCTATTCTTTTTGTAGTTTTTTTCTGGTCTAGTGGCCACGACGAGCTATGATAGAGTGAGGTCATGTCCTGGGGAGAGCAGGGGGTAAGGGTGACCGGGGGTAAGGGACCTTCTAGTCATGGAACATAGTGACTTTAATGGGAAACTCTATAGAGTTAGCAAAGATTCTCTGTAAGAGGAAGATTAGCATAGCTTGTGTCTAGGAGACTAGATGGGTGGGGAATAAGGCTCAGGAGGCTGATTGATTTAAGTTATGGTATTCAGGGAGGGTGATAGGGAATAACGGAGTAGGCATCTTAGTTGATAGGGTTATAAGGGAGCTAGTAGTTGAGGTTAAAAGGGTGAATGACTGGTTGATGGACATTAAGATAATCGTGGGAGATATACTCTAAACGTAGTTAGTGCTTATGCGCCTCAGGTAGGTTTAGATGAGGAGGTTAAAAGACGATTTTGGGAGGATTTGGATGGGTTGTTGCGGGGTATACCGTCCACCAAGAATTTTATTATAGGAGGAGATTTTAACGGTCATATTGGGAGGTTTCCTGGGAGGTATGACGGTGTGCATGGTGGCTTCGGTTTTGGAGATGGAAACGGAGGAGGTACTTCATTACTGGAGTACGCTAAAGATTTTGATCTAGTGATTGCTAACTCGTATTACCCGAAGAAGGCGGATCACCTGATAACTTTCTGGAGTATAGTGTCCAAGACCCAGATTGATTATCTACTTCTCAGAAAATGTGATAAAGGTTTATGCATGGATTGCAAGATCATCCCGAGTGAGAATCTTACGACCCAGCATATGTTTTGGTTATGGACTTAAAGATCAGGTGGACGAGGAGGGAAAGGGATATGTCTAGTTTATCTAAGGTCAAGTGGGGTGCATTGACTAAGGACAAAGCCCAAGAGTTGGGGGAGAAGTTGCTGGCTATGGGGGCCTAGAGGAATAATGAGACACGAGTTGTGTGTAGACTACAACAATGAATTGTATTAGAGAGGCGGCGAGAGAGGTGTTAGAGGTCTCGAAGGGTTTTTTCTGGTGGCCACAAAGGGGATTGGGGGTGGAACGAAGAAGGTCAAGGGAAAGTGGAAACTAAGAAAGAAGTGTATTTAAAGCTAGTAGAAAGCATAGACGAGGGGTAGAAGAGGGCTAACAGGGATGTGACGAAATGATTGGTCGTTTTGAGCTCTAAGGCGTCGTTCAGCAGTTTGAGGCCTTGAGTAGCTTCATTTCAGGTATTATGGCTTGTACATGTGGTCGGAATTGAATTTCGGAAAGTTCGAAATTGATTCGGATGAAAATTCTAAATTCGGAAGCTTTAAGTTGGGAGAATTGACTAAGGTTTGACTTTTGAGTAAACGACCTCGGAAGCGGGATATGAAGGTTCCAATAGGTTCGTATGATAATTTCGGACTTGGGGAGTATGATAATTGGCTATACTCATGTAGTTTAACGACCATTTACGCCCCAACTTAGCTATACTTATTGCTATATGAAGGTTAAATGACAACAAATGGCTCTAATTATGAATTCTGTTCTTTGCAAGAGCAAGTCTTGATTATGAGGACATTGAATAGTGTTTGGAGTTAATTTGGAACAAAGAAGGCCAATCGTAGGTGAATGCGCGTGAAAGAAGAAGGAAAAGATGGAAGACAGTTGAGCTCCATGAGTGCGGGCCAACCGCGACCGCGCTCCTCAGGTAGAAAAGAACGCAATATGCGCGGTCTGACCGCGGTCCAAGCGCGGCCGTGCTCGTCACTCTGAGGAACTTTATTTCAGGGGTAAATTCGTAAGTTCTGGGGCAACTCTCCTTAACCTATAAGAAGCCCAGCTCGCCCAAAAAGAAGGTATCAAGGTTTTTGAAGGATTATTGAAGGCAAGAGGCAAGGCGGAAGATTCGGCATACAGTTTTACCTTTCTTCCTCTTGTTTCAATCATTAATGATGAATTCTACTGTTATGATTATGAAAACGATTATGCATATCTAAACTCTTAATCTGGGATTTTGATGGAACCTCTTGGAGGATGAATTTCTTGATATGTTAATATAGATTGCCTTAATATTTTCTCTGTTTGTTCAACTATATTGTGATTCCTGTTGATTGAAGGGCCCTCAATCGGTTGTGCCTATTAGTATGCATTACTCGGGAGAGAGTGTATATTTAGGTAGTTATTGAACAACATCACTCCTAACGTATATGAGGGATCAATACGAAGGGTTTAAAGGTGGGATTAGGGATAACGAAACCTTGGGTGCGGTCTAAGTGAGTTGTAACTAAGGCCAGCTAGCGTAATTCGGGAGAATATGTCTAGTATATTATTGTAATTACTAGGGAGAGAGTTACGACAGTCAAAGTGCTCATGATCGATAGAGAAGACTTAGGCAAAATTTATAGCAAACATAGCGGAAAGGATTCCGACAAGAGGGGAAATCAGAACCTTAGACCATTCTCATTCTTGCTTACAACCAGTTTATAGCTAATTCTTAATTATTGAATTTTTATTACGTAATATTTAGTCAATAAACACCCAAATTGTTACTCAAATATCTCTGAAGAATTAATACGTGAATTTCTGTGAGTTCAACAACTGTGATTGATAGGTTAATTACATGTTGGATTCGACTCCAGATTTGTTAACCGAAATATATTTATAGTGACCTCTTTGTCCTTTTTATAAGGCATAGCTGGGTGTGATCAGCGTATGTTCGGGTTGAGTATCGGGTGGGCCGGAAGCATTTCGGTGCTTATTATGGAAAGTTGGCATTTTGAAGGTTAAGAATTTCTTAAGTTTTGTTTGAAGTGGACTTTGGTGTTATCAACCGTTTGAGGTTCCAAGCCTTGGAATAGGTTCGTATCCTGATTTATAACTTGTACATAAAGTTTCGAACGCGTTCGTCGAAGTTTGAATGTTTGAAAGTTGAAAGAAGGATCTTGATTGTCAATTTGAAGTTTTGATATTATTTGGTGTGATTTGAGGTCTCAAGCAGGTTCGTGTTATGTTTTGGGACTGGTTGGTGTGATTGGACGGGGTCCCGAGTGCTTTGGGTGTGTTTCGGGATGGTTTCAGACCATATTTCCTTGTTTGGTGCAGGTGTCTGGTTAGGAATTTCGGGCTGCTGGATGTTTGCTTATCGTGAACGCGGAGAATGACTAAGGCAACCTACGTGAACGCAACATAGAGGTCACGAACGCGAAGAAGGCTGGGTGGCTGCAAGGCAGAAGGCCTTCGTGAACGCGAGGGGTGAAGCGCGAAGGGCAGGGGTAGCTGGGCATCGTGAACGCAGACGAGTGGTCGCGAACGCGATGAATGACGACCCTGGGCAAAATTGTTTTAAAAATGGGATTTTGGCTCATTCCTCTCTTGCTTGGGCGATTTTTGGGGCAATTTGGAGGAGCCATTTTCATCATCAATCTTGAGGTAAGAGATTTCTATACATTGTGAGTTAAATATATGATTTATATACGGATTTAAACATGAAAATTAGTAGAAATTGTGGAATTTTGGTAGAAAACCTAGAAATCATATTTTTGGATTTGGACCACGAAATTGGACATGGAATTCAGGATAAATTATATATTTGAGTTCGTGGGATTATGGGTAAAGTTTGTCTTCAAGAATTTTTGAAATCCGAACACGTGGTCCCGAGGCTTTACTTTGTTGACTTTTCGAGCGAAGTTGGGAGTTATTGTAAATTGTTAAATTATGCGCATTGGTGTATATTGTGATTGATTTCACGTTGTTTGACTAGTTTTGGATTGTTGGCTTTGAGTTGAGGTGTTAGAGAGGTGTCAGAGCCGGTTATGGAACTTTGGAGCGAGGTAAGTCTCTTATCTAACTTTGTGTGGGAGAAACTACCCCTATGTGATGTAATTGTTATGTGCTACTAGTTGTGGGTGCTACGAATACATGAGGTGACGAGAGTCCGTATGTAGCTAAAGCATGTTTATTTTGGGGTAGACTTAGGACTTTATTATGTAATATTTGAATTATTTGAACTCGTTCTGCTGGCTTAGTTAATTGAATTTATAAGTGAAATTGATTTAGAAATACATATATAATAGGCCGAGCCCTATCGCCTTGAGTTGTTGGCAAGTTAATTAAGAAACGGTAAAGGTTATATTCACTTTATGCTCATGCACTGTATTCTAAGCACGTGTCTCGTAACTCGATAAGTTCCTTCCTTTCTTGTGGAGTGGGTCAAACGCCTCGGTAGTATAATAGATGAATTTATGGTTCCTGCCGCACGAACCTTGGCAGTGTACACATTATTCGGAATCGGGTCGTACGACCTCGACATGATCGTGTGTTATATCGCGAGTAGTTCGAATATTCACAAGATTATCCTTCTACTGATGCCTAGCATTTTATATGGTATTCCTTACCCATTTATATTGGCACTGGATATCTTCCGAGTTATTGAGATAAGATACGAGATTGAGAAATTTATATTGTTAAAAGAAATTTTAGGAAGATTATGTAACTTAGATTTTTACCCCGTTGTTATTGTTGTGCTTCATATCTACTTATGATTTTTCATATTGCTTTTTTGGACCTCTAGTAAGTGTTGATGTCGACCCATCATTACTAATTCTCCGGGGTTAGGCTAGATACTTACTGAGTACGCATTGCTTTACGTACTTATGTTGCACTTCTGCACTAAATGGTGCAGGATCTGATAGGTTTAATTGGCGGTCATCTTGGCGCGTAGGTGCAGCTGCTAAGGAGACTTTATGGTGAGCGCCATTCCAGGATATGTATCGTAGCCCATAGAGTCTCCATCGTACCATTTACTTTATCCTGTCTTATTTACATTCTAGACAGATGTTGTATCATTATTGTACTCCCTAGTAAATGCTCATGCACTTATGACACCAGGTTTTGGGATGTTCAAGAATTTGTCTATAGTTTGCTTAACCTCGATACACTTTTACTTGTACATTATTTGAATTGTATATATCTATGACTTTAACGCATTTATGTCTCCACTTAACAAGATTTATGATTTCAAAATAATAAAAAGAATAATTAAGTTTGTATACAACTAAAATCGGAGAGTCTGATTTTATGATTATTATGACGCTCCATAGCTCGTCCCTAGAAGGCTCGAGGCACAGCTCGAGGATCGACCCCGAGGGTTTCCTATGTTCGACCTCGGGGAAATGCAAATCGGTGGCTATGATGGACAAGAGAAAAATTCCCAAGGCACGTGGCTATAGCTGACCAGGTCTACAAGAATAGTACAAGTCCGTACCGTGACATTAAATGGTTGTACAAGCCGCATATCTTTGTAATAAACTGTACTATGTTGGGATTCTCCCTCCTACATAAAGGGGACCCTTATCATTTTGTAACATAGATGATATTCAATGCAAGAACAAGAACATTCTCTGCTCTCTAACTTAAACATTCTTTATTGTCTTTCCTTTAATTTATTGTTTACATTTATTGCATTTTATTGATTGTTCTTCATTTATTACTCATCATTGATCATAAAGAGCCACCATCAAGGCCCTCAGAACTGTTAGTTCTTCATCGACCATCCTTAGTCGGGCACTTTAGCTCAACCTCGAGGCCCAACTTATGCCAGTCCGCGACCCTGATCTGCAGCCGTTCGGTTTAAATAATAATGTTGCCTCTTACTCTTACTCTACTTTCCTAGCTCACACTTAGCATCTATTACCTAACAACTAGCATTAAAATAAATTACGTATTTTTAGAACCACATAATCAAATATAATTGTAATTACCATTTTCTAGGTAAACAGTTTGGCACCCACCGTGGGGCTAAAAATAGTAGTGATTGTTTTTGTGCTGGTTAA